GATCAGTTTCATGTGTTTCGACAGTTGTTTACTTCAGGATGAGCCAGGGACCCATTTACTTTAGCATTTCCAGCTGTTTCCCCCTTTTCGGTACCTCCACCGTTCACAATGTTTTTCCAGGTTTGTGTGCTTTACCTTTGAACTCCTCATCCGATTCAACATTGCAGCTCAGGAACAGGGCTCGGTCTGCTCCATACTCTTTATTCAGGTCTTTAACTAGATTCTCTCCTTCAACTTTATTCACGTCCAGGACGGCAACCTATTGACAGGAAGGTTCAAGGACCAAGGTTCACATGCATAGTTATAGAAGTATAACACACAGTGAAATGTAACCTGACACGTTCCTCGACTTATGCAAAAGGGAGGGGGAGAGAGAAAAAGGAAGTAGAAAGCAGAGTAGAAAGAAGTTGTCATCGAGCAGAAACGGGAGCTGGTATCATGTAAATATAATAATAACCACTGCAGCCAAGAAGAGTGCCTGAGAGCCCAGTTGTAAGTAAGCTATTAAGACTCAATTGTACACCGTGTTCCTGTTTTCCTCTGAAACAATAAGTTCCGTTGGAGCAGCCTTTCAACGCCTCTCTCTGTGTCTCATAAGCAAAGTTGACCCAGACAATAAAGTAAAGCTAGTTTTCGGCTACGAGCCCGACAAGGAACCCGATGTATTAGCCAGAGGTCCCTTTACTGCGGTTCGGAGCCTCTGACCTTCAGTAATAGTAATAAATCACACAGCAATAGTACATTCATGCAGTTGTAAAAAGCATGATAATATATTAAGTAATCCAAAGTATTCAGAATACGTATTCCGTTACGTTACTCAATGAGAGTAACGTAACGGAATACGTTACAGAATACGTTTTGGGGCATGTATTCTGTAATCTGTAGTGGAATACATTTTAAAAGTAACCTTCCCAACATTGCATGTGTGTCACCTCTGAATGTGTGCCGTTTTATTTTCTCCATAAAACTCAATATTTTGCCCACTTTTCATCCACACCCAACCTTTACGAACTAAAAATATATAAACAACAACCACATAACAAATGCAGCGCTGACACAAAACAGACACGGCAGGTAGATTTCCACATTTAATCTAAGACAAGGATTAAGATTAAACTTGGCAGTTTTGCAAGGTGTTTATTTTTTTTTAAGTAAAGGGCACACCTACATGTTCAGACACCCCTAAATATACAGGCTCTTGCTGACTCCATCGCCAGCTGCTCTTTGCCCCACAGGCTGATTAAAAAAAATTCTTGGCTGTGGGGCATGAACAACTAAAAACACAATATAAAAGAAAACAGTAACAAAAAAATGAAGAAAAAAAAAAACGTAAATAAAAAGAGAGACGTGTGCAACAAGTGAATTTCCACATTTAGTCATGGATTACATGCTGCTAGTCAAGTGTTACCAGTTAATGTGTCACAATTTGGCATGGTGTCAACAGCTTGGCAACTCTTCGACGGTTGTTTTGTAGTTGTTATTTTTTCAACTAAAGGGAGCCGGTAAATGTAAATTAATATTTTCTACACCACTGTTTACAACAAGCGCACACATACAATCTCTCTCTCTCTC